GAATCTTTGTTATGATTTGTTGCTATAGAGGAAAATAGTCATACTGATGGAAATCACGTATTTTCATTCAGATTTCGTACTTGAAGATGTGTTAGATCCTTTAATTCATGATGAATTAAACTTGCTGAGTGATTTACATCAAGTGTTTCCGTACCTCCATGCATTGGCAAAGGCCAATCCTTATTTACATTAATCATTGTTTTTCGTTACTGCCTCCTCAATATGTTGCTCTTGCACATTAATTGATTTCCACATGGCAAAGTGACATTTACACACTCCTGAAGGTATTTATGAAGTTGATATGAGCTGAGGTGGGTCGCTACGATAAGCGTTACGGGTGGCTTCGGGCTCCCGCAAATGTTACTCGTAAGGAGATGTGTTTACGACCTCGGGAGTCTTTTGAAAATACGCTTGTTGCGAGAAACGAGAGTAGCTACATTTACGATGTAAACAAACCATTTACGATATCGTAAAGCGTTAGTAATTCCGGCCCCTGATTAGTTTATTCAGCAAGTCGTGATCTCATATATGTGAGTTAACATACCAGGTATCGTATGTATGGATAAAATCTTTGCCTAAGATATATATAGGATAAACAAAATGAAGGGGATACGGGAAAGTAAGGCATAACAAAACAAAACCTGACTTAATACCAGCCTGACCTAACTTATCCGAGAGTTATGTATTTGATTTTGTTTAGTGCCAACACAATAATACCATGCTAATATATTTTCCTAAAATAGATAAATCAAGACTGATTACTTCTGATGATCACACACACACACACAGATGTATATACCCCGAAACTGACGTACGTATGCTGTCCCTTTCATTTGTTATTTCTAATTTTGTCCGGCTTCATTCCAAAGGAAAAACGCACATCTTCAGTTCTCTACCTCCAACTCTGCCTCCTGTCTCTTCGTCAATGGTCTCCATACTCTACAACATGAATGGTCTTACTACCGTCTTATAGACTTTCCCCTTCATTCTTGCGGACACCCTTCTGTCACAGATCACTCCTGTCACCCTTCTCCACCCACTCCATCCAGCCTGCACTCTCTTCTTTAATTTTCTACCATACTCTCCATTCCTTTGTGTAATTGACCTCGAATATTTGAATTCATTGATTTTCGCCACCGCTATACCCCGCAGCCTCGCTGTTTCTCCATCATCTCTCCCATTTGCAAACATATACTCCGTCTTGCTCTTGCTTATGCTGCGTTCGGAACTGCTCGTCTATCTCGTCCAGGACCAGCAGGACGAGATGCGCCGCGTTCGGAACCACCAAGACCCTTTCTGCCTAGAATGCTACCGGCTCGAATGTAAATATCCACTTTTTTATCATACCGGTGTCTTTATTTTACACGCTGCATAGGTTTTGTAACTCCTTTGATGCACATTTAACTTACCTGCAAGTGACAAACACAAAAATATCCTTTGATAACCCCAATTCAGGGTCATAAAATTACCCACCAATATCTTGGGGTTACCTGCAACTGTCAATGTTCACATACAAAATCTATTGTGACGTCATCTCGTCCTGCTCGGCCACCTTCGCAGGAGGGCGAGTTGGACGAGCTAGACTACTTGTCCCGGACGAGATAGTGGAGGTTCCGAACGGTCAAAACATCTCTTCCAACTGGTCTGGACGAGATAGACGAACAGGTCCGAACGCACCATTACTGTCAACCCAGTTCTCTCCACTGCATGTCTCCATCTTTCCAGCTCCTCCTCAACTTCCTCCCGGCCCTCACTATATAACATAATATCGTCCTCCAACATCATTGTCCATCATTTTGCCGAGATGAACTTGCAGTTATCTCGGCAAAATTTGACATTATTTGTTGTGCTGAAACTCTGGTTTCAGACATGAGACACGCGTCAGAGTTACTTTTACCCAATTTTAATAAACCCTTTCTCCTCCTTGGGAGTCACGTGTCGTTTCCCCTTTCTTGGAATCATGAGGGCCAGAGGGCTTAATTTGGTTGAAATCGTTCCACGGGGATGGGCGTTGAAGAGGCAAAATGGCGTGGTGTTCGTTTCGTGGTTTCAGCTGGAGATTACCCCGTCTAATCTCATCTGCCAATCTACTCATCACAAAAAGGACTCAAAGTCGATCCTTGGTGCAAACCCACCTCCACCTTAAAACCCCCAGTCTTCTTCCCTTCTGCACACCCCACTGCTGTTTCCCTCTCGTCAAACATTTTCTTTGCCTCCTTCACATACTTCTCTGCCATTCCTGACTTCCTCATAAAATGCCCTAAGCCTTCTCTTGGTCCACAAACACGCAGTGCAACTCCTTCTGACCTTCTCTGTACTTCTCCATCAACATTCTCAAAGCAGTACCTCTTCCTGGAACGAAACCATATTGTTCCTCACTGATCCACACCTCTCTCCAGTCTAGCATCTACCACTCTCTCCCATATCTTTATTGCATCACTAATCAGCTTTATACCTTCGTAGTTGCAGCAGCTCTGCACATCACACCTAGCAAACTTTTTCTCCGCTCCTCCGGCATCTTTTCTTCTTCAAGGAGTTTGTTAAACAATCTAGTAGGCCATGCTACTGCCAACTTCTCTAAGCTCTTCCACGCTTCCACCGGTATGCTATCTGTGCCTACTGCCTTATCACCCTTCATTCTCCTCATGGCTGTCCTCACTTCCTCCCTGCTGATCCCTCACGCTACCTGATCTACTATCTCCACCTCATCCTACCATCTCTCCCTCACGTTTTCTAAATTCATAAGCTCTTCAAAATACTCCTTCTACCTCCTAAATATATTCTCTTCACTTGTAAGTATATTTCCCTCTGCATCCTTTGTCATTCTAACGTGCTGTACATCCCGCCCAGCACTGTCTCTCTGCCTGGCCAATCGGTGAAGGCCTTTTTCCCCTTCCCTGTCAGTCAACCTCATACAGCTCATCATGTGCCTTTTCCTTTGACTTAGCCGCCTCCTTCTTTGCCAAACTCCGCATCTTATATATATATATATATTATATATATATATATATATATATATATATATATATATATATATATATATATATATATAGTATATATATATATATATATATATATATAGTGTGTTGTGTGTGTGTGTGTGTGTGTTGTGTGTGTGTGTGTGTGTGTGTGTGTGTGTGTGTGTGTGTGTGTGTGTGTGTATGTATATATCATCATCCCGACTCAATCCACTGCAGGACGTAGATCTCTCCCAATATTCCCCAACTCTTTCTGTCTTGCGTTTTTTGTTTCCAATCTTGGCCCCTAAATTTCGTTATTCCGTCACACCATCTTGTCACAGGTCTGGCCCTTGGCCTCTTTAGGTTATCTGTAGTCCAATCTGATACTTTCTTTGTCCATCTGTCTTTTCCCCGACATATATGACCTGCCCATTGTCATTTCCTTTTTTTAGATACTCCCAAGTATATCTGTATCTATCTATCTATCTATCTATCTATCTATATATCTATATATATATATATATATATATATATTATATGTGTGTGTGTGTGTATGTTTATATTTTACTAAATAATGTCCCTTTTCTTGTTCACAATAGTTAAAATTAACAAAATTCCCTTTTCTTAAGAGCATCTGACTGAATTCAGTTATACTTCTGGAATTACCTGTTATATGTTTGCTACATTTCCTTTCTTCAGCTATGAAATTGATATTGGTAGATGATTTGCTCTCCTTTTTTTGCTGCAAGATACTGAAAAGGGAATTATTCTAACTGAAAGATTCATGCCTTTTATTACCCTATAAAAGATGATGTATTAAGAACAAAATGGAACATATCAAAATGTATAGTGCTGAAAGAATCAGATTCTGCTTTGCTGATATTGAATCTAAATAACTGCAATTAGCTATAAGCAATACCAACATAAGGAGTTTTGGAAACCTATACATTATAACTAACTTCCACGTAATCACTACAGAACAAGTGTATGTGTGTGTGTGGGGGGGGGGTTGAATGTGAATGTGAGTGTATGTGAGGATGTGAGTGTGTGTGTGGATGTGAGCGTGCGTGTGAATGTGAGTGTGAATGTGAGTGAGTGTGTGTGTGTGTGGGGGGGGGGTTAATGTGAATGTAAGTGTGAGTGTGGATGTGTGCGTGAGTGTGAATGTGCGCGCGCGTGCGCGCGCGTGTGTGTGTGCAACAGAAATGGGTTCCTGTTTAACACTGCATGAATAATGATAATGAAAATGTCATAAAGATATATGAGATCTTTTATCCTGGTAATTTCTTTTTTAAAAATCATATTAACACTGTTATTCACTGAATAAAGAATGTGAGAATTTAAACCATTATTCTCATTGGCATTATTTGAATTATCATTCTTACTACTATTATTGTCAATAACATATTTTATCATTCCATTTGTATCTCCAATGTCTATATTTTTCATTATCAATATTGGCAGCACTACCACTCCCATGTTACTATATTCTCTTATTGCCATTATCAACCTACTACTCCGTTTTACGTTATCATTACATATTCAAATTATGTTCCTGACATTATCCTCATTATTGCTTTAATGATTATACTTTTTATCCACACATCACTTCAAGTGACGTGGATTAGCAATAGTAATAGTCCCCCCTCACGTAAATGTATTTTCTCTGAATATTTTTTTCTTTGTCAATAAAGCGACCGAACTTTGGCGCCACATTTTTCAAAAATACAATGGAGACTAACGAAAGAAAACGATCCTTCAAATAGCAAACTGGCAACTGATATCACATCATTTGTGCATCCAGAATATAGATGGCAATGATGACATATGATACGCCTGCTGTATGAGTGTGTTAGCATATCTACTTGTAGCTATGTGCTATCTGTATTTATTTACCTGTCAATATATGCGTATACTCTCTCTCTCTCTCTCTCTCTCTCTCTCTCTCTCTCTCTCTCTCTCTCTCTCTCTCTCTCTCTCTCTCTCTCTCTCTCTCTCTCTCTCTCTCTCTCTCTCTCTCTCTCTCTTAAACCATCTTTCTTTTTTAAACTATCTCTCTTTCTTAAACTATCTCTCTCTCTCTCTCTTAAACTCTCATTCTTACTCATTCTCACTCGCTCTCACTCTCACACTGTCACTAAAAACCTCACTCCCGCACACCAAAGGAAGTAATTATACAGACACCCAATAGATGGCGCAAAATTTCGCATCTCCTATTTCTCGCTCACTCTCTCGTCCTTATTAATCTCTCCTCAAGGCGCCTCGAGTAAATTCTCCGGCACCTCGAAGTGTGCGAGAATTTTGGGTTTTATTTTCGCAAACCAAGTGAGTCATGAGTGCTGAGGGTTTTAAGATAAGAGTATACTTTATAATGCATGTTTTAGATGGTAAGATGTAAGAAATCTCTTGTGCTGAATTTAGTCTTTTTATGTTTGTTTGTTTGAAAGATTCCGGCATTTGGTTGTTGATCATTGCACTGCAGTTACGTCATGTGAAATGTTTAGGAATTCAAATGTTATTCACTTGGGGTTTATTAATGTATAGGATTTAAAGATATTCAGTGACATCAGCTACTTTGCAAGGAGTAAATCACCGACTGCCGGTCAAATAATTTGGCATTATTGCTTAGAACTCGGTTCTCGGTGTTAACATAATTATTTTTAGTTTATAATTTTTTTTATTGTTTCACAGCTATCCAGCCTTTCGATTATTATATCTTGTTTCTATTATCAAGGGTGTAATAAGTGTGATCTGTTTTTTTTTTCCATTGCACATACTACAGGTAACAGTATTGGTAATTATTAACGAAGTGAAAGCCCCATTACTTCTGCCTGTCAATCCAGAAACATCACTGTACAGAACAAGGGCTTTCTTAACTCATGGGCTTTGTCCTCCAGACCCCACCCAGTTGCTGTATTTCCCTACCAGGGCTCTGACCCAACCCCCACCCATTCACCATGGATGTACTGCTTGGATGGCATTTGTTGCGATTAATTTTCAGATCTTATTCTTTATCTGCGCAGACTATCTCATGTAACATTTAATGTAATTTTATCCCTTTTTGATGACAGTTATTAGGTTTTCCTCATCGTAATGGAATGATTACATAAATTAATTCCAAAGCATTCATGTGATGCTTGTATTATCAACTTGCAATGAAAATGGTATAGATAAAAATCTTTTATTATTTTTCCTTCTTTTTTTTCTTTTCTATGTTTTGTTATTCTGGCCATTCCCGACCAAATTTATCTTGTACTATATGGATGTGTGAAATTGTAACTATACCATTTCTTTGTTTCTTATGTCCTTTTGGCCATCAAACAAAATACTATTTTTTATTGACATTATTGGGGGGGATAATGCTTGATAATTGAATGTGTAGATCAGCATCAGAATCAACATGTGGCATTGGATGTATGTATGCATGTATTTGCAATATATAAGAATTCAATGACAGCAATTGATATGATAAAAAGTTATTTATTCCAAATTATTACCATTGATTTATATGACAGCAACCACAGAGCAATCCTAAAGGGGGTCAAGGGGGGTCACGTAGGTTGCATTGAGTTTGAATTGGTTGTTTGGTTCATGAACTTCCGACATCCTAAGTGGTGGAGGGATACAGGGAGGCAAACCCACCATGGCTTGGCATGGAGGGTTTACAACCTGATTATTTATATTTTCTGTACATAATTATTTTAGTGGAGTGACAGATGTATTAACAAAATCCTCTTTTTTATTGCATTTGTAGTGATTAAGGAGCCCCTTGCCAGTACTCCAACTCTAGTTTACTTGTTCCCTTGTCTATGGAATCGTAATAGTTATTCATATTTACTTCAGAAATCACAAATGATAATAAAATGTTTGATACTGGATAACCATTTTTATCCTCCCAAATTCTATCATTTATTAACTCCCTGCCTTTGTTTCATCTGCCAGCATATGAAAAGGTATCCATGGCCATGTATCTGGTTTTGTCTTCTTTCCAAAATTCACCCTATAGTCGGGCAAGATATTGTATATAGACTCTCCTGGTAGTTTATTATAAGATAAAGAACTGTATATAGCTCTGATATACTAGAATACATATGATGGAGATTGGTGTTTGGTAGAAAATTTAGCATAAAAGTTGTAACTATGCCTTTTTTAGGTTGGACTTGTAGGCCATCCATAAGAGATTACAGCAAGTTCAAGTTATAATTCTTTTTCTACTTCTTATAAGACGGGCACTGTGGATGTGTTTGAAACATTTACTGTTAAACAGGTCTTTTGTTATAATTGGCAGTTGTCATATTCAACAATCATTCTATATTTCAAAATACCTTCATTATCTTTCAGTAATTTTGTCTCATCATGCCCCGTAACATTGAAATTAAAGCCTGTGTCCGCAATCTAGCCGAGCTAAAGAAAATTGCCTCAGAGCTCTCCAAGAGCAGTGGTACTACACTTCATCAGGAAGACACCTTCTTCAATTCTCCACAAGGACGGCTCAAGCTCCGCATTATTAAGGTGAGTGTCTCAGTGGCTTAAACTGAAAACTGGTTTAAATATGAGAAGATAAAATGAATGTTGGAACTATTCTTGTTATGTGTATTTTGGGTAAATCACTTATAATGATTGTTTATGTGTAATGAAATCCATAAATGGATTTTTGCTTGTAGACAAGATATGCTTTGTTAATATTTTTTTTAGGAATTTGTTTATATACATGCTCTGGATACTTCTATTTCATTAATTTGGTTGACATACAGAGAAGTTCCACAGGTATTTTGGCATCTATTTTGGCCTAAGTAAATGGATCTATGTACCCAAATCCCTTGCATTTTCAGGATCATTTTTATTTGTATTACATACATTAATGTTCATAATGTAATGATGTCTTTAAAGATCATGAGGATAATTATAATGTTAACAATAATAATAGTAACAGAAGTATATTATTTTTCTCAAAAATTTTAGGAATGTGGTAAAGAAGGCTGACCATGTAATTGACTCCTTGCTGACTATGCATGTGGAGCTGTGTGAACCAAATTAGTAAAGTAAAACAACAGAAGAATATATTCACCCATTGTCACAAAGATTAATCAGTATTATATAAGTAGAAAGAAAGAAATATTTGTGGTTAAAAAAATAATAATAATAATAATAAAAAAATGAATAGAAGAACCAAAAATCTTGTTTACACAGCATTATCATTTTATGATAAACAGGACTCCTTAACACAATACAACTCAAAAAATGTTTGTAGAATGCTTACTACACTTTATACAAAACTACAATATATGGGAATTAATGTGCATAAAGTTTCATATGTTTTGTTTTGTTTAAAGTACATCATGTTTATTATTTTTTATTTCTGAAATTTCTCCTTTGAGTGATCGAGTTGTCTGAGAATCAAGTTGTAAAAGAAATTTCTGATTTCAGGATGACAAAGAAGAACTTATCTACTATGAGAGACCTGATCAGGAGGGACCAAAATGTAGTGATTATGTTAAGGTATGTACTTTGTTTTCTCTGCTAATGTCAGTTCTTGTTTTTCCTTTATCTTGTTTTCTCTAATTTATTAGTTTGTTAAAGATGATTGTTTCTTTTCATTCATATGTAGGCTTTCTCAGCTGTAAGTCATTTGTTGGTCTTTTTTCAATAATTAGTTTGGCAGCTTGACAGCTGTAAGTAGTGTATGTGATTCAAGTAAATGATATATTTTTAGCAATTTTAAAGGAAAAATATACAATTACAGCTATTCATTTCTCAAGTACTTCATTATTGCTAGAGTTGGTGCTAACTGATAACCCCATTGGGAGTAAATTGTTACTGCTAGAAATGCATGTATACATGCACTCTCCACTCTGGTTTTGTTTTATTAACCTATTAGATCTTGGTGACATGGATACTCCATCATGAAAAAAAATTGGCCAGTTGGTGGTAGATGGGAATTAGCAGATTAGGAAAAATGTGCCTTAGAGCAAGGGACGATGGGAATCTCACGCCAGAAGAAATTGTTGCTGAGTGGCAGGTTATGAAGAAGTTTCATCATGAGTACAGAGAAAAATTAAAGCATGAATATGAAATAAAATTACACAAATGTCAATGTTACTTATCATTACTGCTACAGTACAGAGGGTAAACTACCTGAATGATAATGTGAAATCTTCTCAACAAAAGCAATACATCACACAATATATTTAACAAATGAAAAATATAGACCTCAGAAAAGGGCAGAAGTGTAAAAGTACATATCCAGGATAAGAGCTAAAAGCAATGCAAAGAGGAGGTGAGGATTCTTTATATTGTATGAGTGCTTGAGTGGCCCAGGGCTACAGGCCACAAGTAAGACTAATTCCCAGATTTTGGTTCATGTGCCAAAGGGAGGCACCCAGATCCAACAGGTTAATTTTGTTTATATAGAAAGGGCTCTAGAACTAGCTAATATATAATTTACTTCTAGGCCTACCTAACCTCTCTTCAACCTTACCTCTAAACCACATTGGACAGTACATGTACCTATCATCATCTGAGATAATGATAGTAATGATAATATTCATGATAATGATAAGGAAAGTAATAATAATAATAATAGTAATGATAATGATAATAAAGAATAAACTATAATCAGTGCCTTCTTGAACTTAAGGTTACTGGGAAACCAGGAGAGCTGAGTTCCGACATGAGGACCTTGCTGGAGCGCTGCATGGGAGTAAAGGGAGTCGTCAAGAAGACCAGAATGCTGTACATGGTGGATCAGACGAGGGTGCATGTTGATTCCGTTGAGGGCCTTGGGGATTTCATGGAGCTTGAGGTAAGTGTCATTTTTGTTTTATTTATGCATTTAGACCTATAGACCTTTTAGCTTGTTCTCCCCACCTCCACTGCTAATAATGCCTAATATTTTAGGATTTACAAAGATAGATTTTGGTCCTTTATATTTTTAACACATTGAATTTTCAGATATATATTTCAGTAATTTTTAATAATTACCATAGTGTTATTAAATAAGAACAATGTTAAAAAATAGATTATTGCTCTTTCAGGTTATG